ATATACTCCTGAGGTGGTTGTTGGTAGTGAGGGAGAGTTTATTTTCTTCCGGACATCAGTTTCACTGGTAGTATAATGTGCCCTATAGCAGAAAGACTTGGGTTATGATTTTGAACCTAAGGTGTCATCTTTCTCTTATCTCCCAATCCACTTCCTCATTACTACAGAAACAACAACAACAAAAAAAACTATTTCAAAATAATAAGAATAGAAAGGATTTTGTATAATGACTGCTGTATAGCAACCTCTAAGGCAGGACTTTATTTTTGTTCTGAATCAACAAATATATGTTTGCCGGTATAATTAGCAACTGACTATAAATACATTAAAATAACACTAAGAAAAGAAATATTTTCCTAGTTTACAAAAACATTAAAAACATTTATGATTATTTAATGTACATTTGTTTAGGAAATTTAGGATTTGTAGGCTAAGGAATTATGTTCTACTCAATCAAACCTGCAAAGACCAAAACTCTCAAAAATGTGTGAGGTGAACATTGTCTTTATGGAATGAGATCTATGTGCCTTTATATACTGATGTCCAGTGTCAATTTTAGTTGGCATGTTATCATGAAAAGGATCCCTTACAGTTGAGGTTGTACGTAATTCTAGACCAGTCCCTTCAACTCTCTGACTTGCATAATACTCTAATAACATTAGTATTCTTGCTTATATTAAAGTACAAACATCTATTTACTGTTGTTCTCTCAGATCCATTTCATAGGTAAACAATTTTAATAGACATCATCTCAGTTTAATAAATTTTGAACATATTCTCATAGAAAACACTATTCGAAAAACATATACAAGTTAATCCAAATCAACTGTATGGGATCAGCGACTTGGAAGTTGATCATAGAAATAGGAAGTAAGCAGAGAATGTGAAATAAGGAAATGTTAAAAGTGATAAAGGGTGTGTTAACATGCTCATAATCACTGTGCACAACGTGGAATTTTCTTAATGCTGAGTTTTGGAATATGCTGTGTGAAATATGACTTATAATTGTTCTGGGAAAGTACACAAAGGAAACTAAGTTCATACTTACTACACCTATGCATTATGGGTTAGGGCTTACTTCTCAGATAATAAACTCAATCCCAATTTTTTCAATGACTTTGTCTGTAGTGGAAGAAATTTTTTTAACTTTGGAGAACTGAGCAGGATACCAGGACTTAGTCTTGTTGTGTTATTCTGAAGCAAATATAGGTAATTATGCCGAGTGTTTCTATATAGTAGGTATTGTTTCAACCCTTTGGAAGCTGTAACTATTTACCTTTTTCATTCAAAGAAAGATACAAATGTAATATGTTATGCAAATGAAGACACTGATGAACAGGAAATTATCCAGTAACATACCTAATAAGTGATTCAGAACAGAATCTTTGTGGACTGTTCATTTCTTTTGGCTCTGTTATTTCGGGCCTGTATTGAGCCAGAGCATAATGGTGAAAAGGAAGTAAAAGAAACGCTCTGCTCAGTTCATAGCACAAGAGAGGGGAGAGAGAGGGAGGGAGAGGAGAAGGAAAAGGAAGAGGGACCCTCAACTAAGCCCCACTTCCTGGAACACATCACTTCCCAATAATGCCATTTTATTATAAATTCATCAAAAGATCAATCCATTTGGTAGGACACAGTCTTTAACATCTGATTACTTCCCCAAAGCCCCAAAGCTGGCAACCAAAGACATAATACATGAGCTTTCTAACCTTTACGGAACATGTTAAGTTCAAATTATACCAGTATCTTATCACCAGACCTGCCTTTGACAAGAGCACCCTTATCTTGGCTGTTTCTACTAGTAATGATTTTCCCATTTGCCTTTTTATTCTATTTGTTGGCTTTAAATCCTCACTTTTCCTATCTGTGTTCAAATTTTACCCCAATATCCTCCATTATAATAGTTGTGATATTGATTGTCCTCAATAACAACTTTCTTACCCTCTGAACAAATGTCAGAGAAATATTTTCTGTAACAAAGAACAGTATTTTCCTTAAATCAGTCTTCTGATTGTCAGTGATACTTACTATATCTTCTCATAAACTCTCTGTGTATGAAATATTTTACTTGGTCTTTCCAGGATTTAACTGGAAATTATTCTCTTCCCCCTTGACAAGTTGTCAATTTCAATTATGAAGATATGTTGCTATGATAGTATGTTTATAGTTCAGCATGAATTTGTATTTCACTTAGGGTATTCCCACAAAAATAATCACTCATCAAATGTCCTTTTTTCTTTTTCCAAATTTTGTATGTAGAATAACAAGATGTTTGCTGGTTGTTGAGTCCACTTTAAAAGAATTGTGATTCTTCTTTCATATTCAAAGTTGTCAAATCCCTTGGTCTTGCCACATGACGGAATATTGGTTTCTGTTAGGTGACAGGAAGGTACCAGTCATGTAAGTATACTACATTTCTATCCATGTACTCGTTATCTTGCCCATGTAATTGTAACTCCTCTGTACAGTATTCTCACAATAATAATAATAATAAAAAAAGCAAAGACCAAAAAATAAAAAGTTGGCAAAAAATTGTGATTGTGCTGAATGTCTTAGAAACCAGAAGCAGAGGTGAGGTCCTATATTATCAGAAACTTCCAGCTATAAATAATTATTATCTCGTATGTGAAATAAATGGGATAAATTTACTCTGACTCCAAAAAGATCAGGACTTTTTTAAAAAGTGTAGGTTTTTTTGAAAAAGTGTAGAAACTCCACTGAGATCAGTCTACTGACATGTAGACAATGGGTTCAATGGGTGAAATCTTATAAGATTAAATGAGAAAGAGTTGAAAATATTTTTCACCCTGTCTCAGAATTCAAGGAATAGTTTTTCTATTAAGAAAATTTATAGATTCTGATCAACTAATCTTTCTATGAGAGCTGGATAACAATTACTTCAGCACAGTTTTTAGTAGCTCATTTTCAGCCAGATTACTTTCACACTTTCATTTAACACACCTTTCATCGTCTTTTGTAATAATTTTGGCTCTCATTTTTTGCTGGTACCAAGGCATGAATTCTGGGCTTGGGAGCTATCCCTTAGCTTTTTCACTCAAGGATGGCACATTCTGTTTCTTGAGCCTTCTTATATGTACTATAATATGGTTTTTGTTTTGCATTCTTTCTTGTTACTTTAAAAAAAGAAATTATAATTGAATTATTGAACTTCCAGCGAAATGTTTGTATAGCATAACCCTAGAAGTTGATGAATCCTCATTATAATTTGAAACTTTATTTTTGAAGATAATCTTATTATTTTTGAAGATAATCAGGATTAATGGATGATTTTATTAGTTGATAATGTTATTCTCTTTTATTGTTAAATAAACCACACAAATAGAAGGTAATTCAAAGATAATACTTTCAGTGACATACCAGGATAAACAGAATACAAACATCTGGATTTCGGAAAACATCAAGTCACCCATTTAATTTAAAGATAGCGCTAAAATTGCAAGACTAAGAATATTTTCTAGCAAAGCCGATTTAATGTTTTGCTAGTAATATTTTGAAATTCCTAATAACTTTTCTACAAAAAAAATCGCTAATGTTTTCATTTATCAATAGGCCAAGCAAGTGCTATTAATAATCTGATAGCTGATCCACTTCTATAAGTGTAAACTCTCTTTTAAGCATTGAAAAACTGAGGAGGATTTATTATCACCCCATTTCATCTGGAAAATCTTCTTGAGAATTACATACATACTGATCACCTTTTTCCTAGGCCTCCTTATAAAAACTTCTAATTAACAGGTGCAACAAACTGATATGCTTTGTTTAAACTTCGTGTATGCTCTTGAGATATCTTGCTTTATGCCACTAATTTGAAAATATAGAACTTGCACTTAAGTTTTTTTAGTATGTTTTATTGTAAAACTACTGTACAGACAGATTACATGAGTAAAGTAATGAGTACATTTCCTATTGAGCACTGTTACTGCCTCCTTTGATTTTCCCCTACCATCCCTTCCCTCTCCACCTCCCCAACTTCTCTCTCCCCCCACCTGGAATTTGTAAAGTTCGTTTTCAACATAGTGTCTTTTACAAAAAGATTTTTTTGTCTTTGTTCATTTTGCTGTAAATATTGACTGATTTCACTGTCATACTTCCATGTATGCATAAAAAGTAATTGGAAAAAACAAATTGTTTAAATAGGGATACAGGTGGATCCATTGCAACAATGAGATATACAAGATGTTATGTTGAAAAACGAACTTTACAACATTGGGGGGAGGGGGTGGGAAGGAGAAACAAAGGAGGAGGCAACAATGCTTGATAAGAAATGTACTCATTACCTTGCCCATGTAATTGTAACCCCTCTGCACAGTATTTTCACAATTAAAAAAAGTAATTTGATCTGATTCACTTCCGCTTATAATAATTGATCTTATCTCCTTTTCCCACTGTAAATTTTTCAACATCCTTATGTTTTATATTTACATGCATTGTAAAGTACATTTTATTTAATCTGCTCTCCTAGTGGCTCCCATCCCCCTATGATCACTCTCACGTTATGCATGGCACATGGCAGAGAACTCAGTGTTAGTGGTTGAACTTCACCCATGCTCTCAGTCCTTTGGCTTCAGTTCTCTTTCAGCTAAGATGTCACATTTCTGCTCAATGATGTTTTCTATTCCTACCCTTCTAGTGCCCACCACCTAAAAGCTGTAATAATAGGCCAAAATCTTTTTTCTTCCTTCCTTCCTTCCTTCCTCCCTTCCTTCCTCCCTCCCTCCTGCCTTTCCTCTCCACTCCTCCTCCCTCCTCCTTCTCCTTCTTCTTCCCCCTCCTCCCTCTCACCCTTCCCCTCTCCTTTCCCCCCCTCCTCCCCTTTCCCCTTCCCCCTCCCCCTCTTCCTCCTCCTGCTCCTCCTCCTCCTCCTTCTTCTTTTTCTTCTTCTTCCCTCTCTCCCTTCCCCTTCTCTCCCTCCCGTCTTCTCTCTCTCCCTCCTCCCTCTTTCTTTCTGGTATAGACTCCATATATAGGATACACATGAGATTGCTTCTCAGCCTTTTGGCTAAGTTCAAGTGAAGTATCTGTTCTTATCAGTTTAATATAGGACACACATGGAAATATGTCATTCTCAGTTTGATTTATATTTTACCTTGGGACAGTGTTCTCCAGCTCCATCCATTTTCCTTAAATTGACACAATTGCATTTTTCTTTATGACCTAATAATAATATATATGACAGATTAGGGGATATTTTTGGTTGGTGGTGTCTTCCTTCCTTCCTTCCTTCCTTCCTTCTTTCTTTTCCTTTCCTTTTTTCCTTTCCTTTCCTTTCCTGTCCTTTCCTTTCCTTTCTTTTCCTTTTCTTTTCTTTCTTCCTTTTGTGGTTTTCACTGTCCTGCAACTTGAACCTAGGCACAATCACTGAGTTTTTTGCTATATCACTTGACCCACAGTTTCACTTCTGGCTTTTTGGTGGTTAACTGTAGATTATAGTATTGTGGATTTTCTTGCCCAAGCTGTTTTCAAACCCTGATCTTCAGACCTCACCCCCTGCCTCACTGAGTAGCTAGAATAACAGGTGTGTGGCATTAGTATCCCACTACATTTTCATTAAAGGAAGCAATTTTCCATTGTTGTGCATATGCACAAAAAACCCATTTGTTTTTGTTTAATTTAAGTTCTTACTTTTGTTGTTGTTCATTTTATTTTGGATTTTGGTTTTCATTCGCCTGAGTTTTCAAGCTCAAGACATTATGCTTATTTGTTAGCATGGGCTTGATCACTTGAGCTTTTCCCACATTTTTCCCAGCATTAAGTCCACAATACTCCTACATATGCAGATTTTCTAGCTGGAATCACAGAAGCCACCTTGCCATGCTTATTTTACTGAAATTGAGACTTGCTCATTTTATTTACCAGTTTGGCATTCCATTGTGATCCTCCTGGTCTCTGCCTCCCAAACAGGATTATATGTGTAATCTCATAATCACTCCTGGCCTCTAAGTTTCTTAATGATTAGAACATCCTAATGACATTTGGGAGTTAGGTCTTGATAAAAAGCTAAAATATAAAAAAATATTTTTAAAATATATTTTAAATTATTTTTAAATTTTTATTTTAAACTATTTCTAAATTTCTGGAAATGAGGACCCATTTTTCTGATGACAGAAACTTAATCACTGTTTATGTATAACCAAAATCTGATAGGTTTTATTAAAGAGCTGGAAGATTTTATTTTTATTTATTTATTTTTGGCTAGGCATAGTGTTTGAACTCAGGGCCTGGGCCCTGTTCCTGAACTTCTTTTGCTTAAGGCTATCAATCTATCACTTGAACCACAGAGCCACTTCCAGCTTTTTCTGTTTATGTGGTACTGAGGAATAGAACCCAGGGCTTCATGCATGCTAGGCTAGCACTCTACCACTAAGCCACATTCCCAGCCAAAGGTTTTATTAAAGAACTGGAAGATGTTAAAAAGTTCCTCCAGTGGTCAGTTAAGATAATTCTTTTCAAGAAGAGAGTTGCACAAAGCTCTGAGAGTATTATTTTTGAAGCCACTATATCTCAGAGGCACTCTCAAGCATAACCTGATATGAATTTTAAACGCACAAATTTCTTTTCACTCAAAACAAAATAAATTTGGGCCATGAAAACTCTCAGGTGTACAGTATGAATTATTTGTGCTAATTTCAATTATTTATAAGCCAACTATTTGCAATCATCTTTTGGATAAATAAGTTAAGCACTATCTAGCACAAAGCACTTGAAAAAGAAGTAAAGGTGCTGACCTATTCAGGGTGGTGATAGCCTCATTCTGTCTTGGGAGAGAAGACTCTTAGCATGTAAACCACTTGGAAAGGAATAATTATGGGACTGTATGGAATGCTTCTACCCATGAGTGCCCACTGTCCATCCTCTCCTATCCTGATATCCTGGTAGAGCTTAGAATCCAAGATAGTGTTGAGAATATCAGGTTAACAAAATAGATTAAATTCCAGTACAGCAATTGTATGCTGAGACAAGATTCAAACACTGTAGCAACTACCCTTCAGCTCAAATTCAATTTTCTCTATTTCTAAAACATTTATTTTCTACAAATGTCCATAGTTCTTCCTTAAGAATCTGGTTTCAAAGAATATTTTATCTTCTTCCTTTATATACGTTTGAAAAGCAGAGGATGTATGACTATAAATACATTAAACTCAACTACTTTATATCATTAGGAGATATGGGTCTAATACATTTATCTTAAAAATGTTTTTCTGTTTCGGTCATCTTGACCAGCATAACATTATTTTTGACTCTTGACACATCTTGCACCAAAATAGGCTTGCTATGAGATTCATAAACACTAAAATGACCTTGTCTCTTCTTTTGCTAAGGAAACCAGCTGTATGGAAAAATTGCCATATGCAAACTGAAATATGTTTCAACACTTTTTTTCCCAAATCCAAACTTAGATAATCATAAACAAAACTGAAAGAAAACTATTTTATACTCTCAAAATTTCTTAATTTATTTCAAGTATATCTGAGATCTTTCTATGTGCCAGCCTAAATGCATCCCACGTAGTTTTTCAGCCATTTTATTTCACTCACTTCAGACTTTTTACATTGTATTTTATGAAGTCGAACAACCCCAAAATATGATCAAATAAATTAGATACAATTTGTTGATATTCTAGCCTATTTAACTCTAGAAATATTTTTACAGTATGGAAGGCTTCAATGTTTAAATATGTATGACACATTATTTGGTTTAACATGGCCATGAAAATTTATTATCATATTTAATAGCTCTATTTTCTTTTCTCATACTCCCTTTGATTCTGTTTATAAAATTCTTTTTGTGTATAAGTCTGACAAAAGGCTCAGACATAATCAAATGGATGTCACATGTATAGTATCTTACTATGTATGTTAGCTTATTATTTTTCTACCTCTGGTGTCATTACTAGCTGATTTTGACAGAGAACACAGGAATATGAAAGGGCTTACTTCATGGCCAGGGAAACAAATAGTAAAGGAAGAAGTTTTTGTGGGCAGAGCTTAGTTCATTAGGCTTGTTTTGAAAATCCCCTCCAAAGACATGCCCCTAATAATCTAAACTCCACCTACCAGACTCCACCTAATAACTCCACGTAATAATTCCATCACAGGGGAATACCATATACAGGAGGCAAAGCTTTGGCCTATAGACTTTAGGAGTATCTTTCTTGAGATTATATCATGTATCTCCAGTGAATGCTATATGCTGCAATTAAAACATAATATCTATTACTTCAAATACTTGAGTATGCTTTGAGAAGTAAAAGAGGGAAATATGCCATCTAGTTTTAAATAGTGATTTAACAACTTACATTGTAACATATATTTCTGATTTGACAGTGAAAAGATAGGATTTAAAAGGAAAATAAAACCTATATTTAAAATGCAAATGATGTTTTATTGTAAGAAGGCATAGAATTTGAAATATAAGAAAATTAGTTATTACTTCTTAATCACTTGACAATGAATCAATTAATTCCAATGATATATGCTGCAATATTTCAGGGTTTGCTTATTAATGAGAGAAAATAGGTGCTGTATCAGTATTTCGTGAAAGAAAATCTGTCTAGTTATTTTCTTAGAAAAAATGTTATGTAAAAGAGAATGCTGACATTGCTCTGTGGATATAACATTTGTCTTTCACATTTAGCATAGGAAAAATGGGATTTTTGGAGTTTAAAACTAGAAGAAGATCTGAGGAGCTGGTCACAGATTTCTCAGTAGCAGATTGGGCTCAGACCTCAGGGATGGGGAAACTGTGAATTATTCCCTAACTAGCCTCATCTATAAGAAGAGAACTGGCCATACTGGCTACACTGTAAACAAATACCCTGTGTTTTGGGATGGGGGCGTAGGGGGTCAGTAGATACCAGTGAAAATGACCCAGAGCTAAATAAAGTGGTGGAGCCTAGGGCCAGGGCAAAGTCTCTGAGTATAAAGGAACCTGAACCGTGCAAAAGGTCAGACTTGGTGAAACAATATTAACCAGCTTCATCACTAGTCTCATTGCCTCATGCAAGAGAACTGGGCACAACATCAAGTAGTAGAACTCCCTCCAAATAACACAGCTTCTAAAGGTTGGGAGAAGACAGCAAAAAAAAAATCCCGAGGATAATTAAAAGCAGCCTGGTACCCTAATCTTGCCCAGGTCAAGCAAGAAGCAACATGAGTAGTGATAAAAGCAGTCATGAGGCAGTTGTACCACTTGGAGGCCATCCACCCAAGTCGCTGCAGCACAGGTCCAGTCGCTGCTGCAGAGGTCCATACTAGACCACCTACAGACTAACTTCACTCCATAGAATTGTTACCATGCTCCACAGAATACCCTTCAGAATACTCATCCACAGATAAACCCAAACACCTACAATTTCCTGACTTTTTACAGAGCAACCAAGAACCTACTCTGTAGAAAAGACAATTTTCACAAAAGAAAACATGTTATGAGAAAACTGGATAGGCACAGATATAAGACAGAAGTCAGATCTTTTTTTCCCTTAAACTTTGAAAGACTATGGGAAAACAATTAAAGGTACAGTCTGAGCCAGGTGCTGATGACCCATGCTCATACTCATAGCTACTCAGAAAGCTAAAGTACAGGAATCATGGTCCAAAGGCTGACAAAGCAGAAAATCCCTCAAGACTCTACCTTCAAAATAACCAGCAAAAAGCTAGGCTGAGCAGGTGGCACAAATGGAAGAATACAACCAAGCAGTGCAATGCTCTAAATTAAAAAAAATAAGAAAGAATTGACAAATGAGATGGCATCAAGTTAAAAAGATTTATATCAAAGGAAATATTTACCATAATTGCCAGGATAAAAAGACAACTCACATAGTAGGAGAAAACCTCTGAATAATATACAGAATATATGCCAGGCGCCAGTGGCTCACATCTGAAATCCTAGGTACTCAGGAGATTGAGATTTTAGGACTGCAGTTCAAAGCCAACTCTGAACAGAAAAGTATTTGAGACTCTTATCTCAAATAAAGTACCAAAAAAATCTGGATGTGGAGTTGTGCCTAAACTAGTACAATGATAGCCTTGAGCATAAAAGCTGAGGCAGCACCAAGGCCCTCAGGACCAGCACCCCCCCACACACACACATTATTTATGTGTCTCTGTATCTCTGTATCTATCTATCATCTAACTACCAAATATACTAAGAGATCCAAAATATAAACAA